GGAGGTTCCCCCCCCCGGGGGGAGGAGGGGAGAGGAGATGGGGATGTGGCCGGGGTTCCCTCTGTCCCCAGGGTTCCCTCTGTCCCCAAGGATCACCCACCCCGGGGTGCCCACAGAGAGGTGGCGGGACGGGCACGGCTGCTTCGGTGCACAGTGACCGTGCACACACGTGAGTGCACACCTGTCTGCACGCTTACTTGTGCATGCGGGTGTGCAAGCACGGGTGTGTGCATGCAGCCACATGCATTCCTGCGTGTGCGTGTCTGCACGGATGTGCGTGCTCAAGTGTGCACGTGTGTATGTGCAGGCATGCAAACGTGCATGCACGTGTATACACACGCGTGTGCACGCACATGCGTGTCTCTACACTTACAATGCCTTTGAAGGGCTCCCGCCCCCCAGCCCCAAATCCCAGGGTGTGGGGAAGAGAGAAAGGAGGAGGGGGAGGCTGGGCAACCTTTGCACACACGTGCACACGCGTGCACACACAGACACACACAGACACACGCAGACACACACGGTCACCCCAGTGCTCGGGGACACCCACAGGTGCCTCCTGCTGCTGGGACATCGCTCCTGCCCCAGCCCATGGGGTCGGGATGGCTTTGCCCCCATTTTGGGGGGACCATCCGGGCGGGGGGCTGGGGGTTGCTGGCCTGCCCCACGCTTTTGGGGACCCGGTGGGACCCACGGCGGGGCCTGGAGGTGCGATAGCTGCGGGCTGGGTGCTCCGATAACGGCCCCCAGCGTTATCTGGGTGCTGCCAAGGGCTCCCCTCCCTGCAGCAGCCCGAAGGATTTTGGGGGTCCCTCTCCGTCACCCCCCCCTCAGGGCACCCCGCTGCCCCCTGGCTGGGTGCTGTGGGCTGGGACCCCTTTGGAGGGGGCAGAGGAGGACGTGGGGCAGCCTGGGGTCACAGAAAGGGGGGGGACACGTCCCCATGGGTTGTGGCTGGGAGGGGGGGTGTTACCTCTCTGCTCAGGGTGGCTCTGATTTATCGGGGTGCTGCAGGGGGAGATGTGGGTGCCCCTGGTGCTCCTCCCCCCCATGATTTCCCTGCCACATCGATAGGGAAACTGAGGCACAGCCCAAAAGTGGGGTGCTGGAATCAT